GCGGACAGTCTATCACCAGGTTCTAGTGGCTGGCCTCCGTGGGGCTGCCAGGCGCCCCACTAATTTGGCTAAGGTAAGAGAGGTTATGCAGTGGGCTACAGAACCCCCGTCAGTGTTTCTTGAGCGTCTCATGGAGGCATTCAGGCGGTTTACCCCTTTTGACCCTGCTTCTGAGGGACAGAGAGCCTCTGTAGCTATGGCCTTCATTGGACAATCAGCATTAGATATTAAAAAAAATCTCCAGAGACTCGATGGGTTGTAGGATCTCTCTTTACAGGACTTAGTTTAAAAAGCAGAAAAAGTATATTATAAAAGAGAAACAGAAGAAAAAAGAGAACAGAGGAGGGAAAAAGAAAGGGAGGAAAGAGAGAGTAAAAAGGAAAAAAAGACAAGAAGAAAACCTAGCTTGGATCCTGGCCACTATAGTGTGAGAAAGGGGACAAGAACGGGGCCCCAACAAGGGACCAAAGCCTGGTTGTATCCCACTAGACAAGGACCAGTGTGCTTATTGTAAAGAAAAAGGACATTGGGCAAAAGACTGTTCTAAAAGGACCAAGAAAAACAAAGTGCAGCAGCCCCCTCCGGCCAAAGTACTTGCCCTGCATGAGGACTCAGACTAGGGGGGATGGGGCTCGGAGCCCCTCCCCGAGCCTACAGTAACTCTAAAAGTGGAGGGGAAGCCAATTAATTTTTTAGTCGACACTGGTGCCCAACACTCAGTGTTACTGGCACCGTCAGGGCCACTTTCCAAGAAAAAATCTTGGGTCATAGGGGCAACTGGGTACCAGCAGTATCCATGGACCACCAATAGAACAGTTGACCTCAGAAGAGGTCTAGTGACCCACTCCTTCTTAGTCATTCCTGAATGTCTAGTGCCCCTCCTTGGGAGAGACTTACTTACCAAAATGGGGGCACAGATTAATTTTACCCCAAGAGGTCCAAAGTTTACTCCAGATGTGCAGACATTTGTCCTAGCTGTACGCCTTCAAGATGAACACTGACTTTTCGAAAGTCAACATAGTAACACTGACCCCCTTCATGCTTGGCTGCAAAAATATCCTACAACCTGGGCCAAGACAGCTGGAATGGAGTTAGCCACCAACAGGCCCCCAATACTAATAGAACTAAAAGCTACAGCTACCCCTGTGGCACTACGCCAATACCCTATGACCAAAGAAGCCCGAGAAGGTATCACACCTCACATACAATGCCTCCTACACCTGGGTATTCTAAAAAAATGCCAGTCACCTTGAAATACCCCCTTGCTTCCTGTAAAAAAACCCGGCTCAAGTGACTATCGCCCTGTGCAAGACTTGCGGGAGGTCAATAAGTGGGAACAGGACATCCATTCCATGGTACCTAATCCATATAACCTGCTAAGTTCTCTACCTCCAGAACGGGACTGGTATACTGTCTTAGACTTAAAGGACACTTTCTTCTGCCTGCGACTGCACCCCTCCAACCAGAATATATTTGCCTTTGAAAGGAGGGACCGGACACTGGGATCATGGGACAATTAAGATGGACCCAGCTCCCTCAGGGCTTCTGACACTCGCCTATGATTTTTGATGAAGCCCTCCATCAGGACCTCTCACACTTCCGCGCCAGCCACCCTGAGGAAACCCTCTTGCAGTATGTAGACAACTTGTTGCTCACAGGAGCAACTGAAGAAACATTTCGGTACGGCACTGGACTGCTGCTAGAAGAACTGGCCCACCTGGGGTATCATGCCTCTGCTAAAAAGGCCCAAATATGTCAACAACATACTTGGGCTATACTTTACGGGGTGGAAAGAGGTGGCTCACTGAAGCCAGGAAATGGACTGTAACCCAGATCCCCGTTCCTTGCATGCCCCGGTAAGTGCGAGAATTCTTGGGGATGGCGGGATTCTGCCACCTATGGATACTGGGGTTCACTGCTTTGGCCACTCCTCTTTACCCACTGACTAAAGAGGGAGCCCCCATTGAGTGGGGCGTTGACCAACAATGGGATTTTGATAATATAAAAAAGCCTTACTATCAGCCCTGGCTTTGACTCTGCCTGATGTGACAAAACCTTTCACTCCATATGTAGATTGAAAAAAAGGGGGTGGCCTGAGGGTTACTGATGCAACCCTTAGGGCCTTAGAAAAGACTGGTGGCCTATCTCTCAAAAAAACTGGACCCAGTGGCTGGGGGATGGCCGGCTTGCCTGAGATTGATAGAGGCTGTGGCGACACTGGTAAAAGATTCTGACAAATTTATGGGACAAAAATTACTAGTCATTGCATCCCACGCTTTAGAGAGCATCATCCGGCAGCCCCCAGACTGATGGCTGTCCAATGCTCGTATGACTCATTACCAGAGTCTCTTGTTAGATAAGAGTCCAGTTTGGACCCCCGCCCGGTCACTCTCAACCCTGCCATGCTGCTGCCCGAGATCTCTGCCAAGGAGGCTGTCTTCCATACCTGCCAAGAAGTCCTGGCAGAAGAAACCGGAACCCGATGGGATCTCCAAGATCAGCTGCTACCAAATGCCCAGCTGACCTGGTTCACTGACGGAAGCAGCTACATCATAGAAGGTAAAAGGGTGGCAGGGGCGGGTGGAGTCACACCAGGCGACCAGACTGTCTGGGTGAATAGCTTACCCAAGGGAACCTCAGCCCAAAAAGCTGAGCTCATAGCCTTGACTTGGGTCCTGCATCTGGCAGAGGGAAAGGTCATAAATATTTACACTGATAGCCGGTATGCATTCGCTACCACCCACGTCCATGGGGCTATCTATAGACAACGAGGCTTACTGACCTCAGCTGGTAAAGATATCAAACACAAAGAACAGATCTTGGAATTACTGGAGGCTATACACCTCCCTAAGAAGGTAGCTATTATCCACTGCCCTGGGCATCAAAAGGCAAAATCCCGAGTAGCAGAGGGAAACCGGCCAGCCGATCAGGCAGCTAAGCGGGCGGCCCAGGGGCTTAATATACTACCACTACATAAGGCAATCGACTCAGGTCCCTCAGATGAGACTCTCTCATATTCCAAACAAGACCTACTGGAAATAAATAAAATGGGACCTCACTCTGTGACCCCAGAGGGGGTACATAAGACTGTCGAGGGAAAGACTATCCTCCTTCGAGAACAAGCAATTGCTTTCCTCGATCAGCTTCATAACTGACACACCTAGGCTCAAAACATCTAATTACCTCAGTCCAGCAGTCCTCGTTCCATGTCATAAACCTGCGCAGACTCACTGAAACGATAGTAAACCAATGCAGACCCTACCAATTAGTTAACGCCTACCCAGACAAAACACCACAAGTAAAGCAGCTTCGTGGACATTGGGAAGTTACTGGGAAATAGACTTCACTGAAATAAAACCAGGCAAATATGGCTACAAGTATCTGCTAGTTCTGGTTGATACCTTCTCAGGGTGGGTCGAAGCCTTCCCCACTGAAAAAGAGACTGCTCAGACAGTTGCCAAGATAATCCTAGAAGAAATCTTCCCAAGATTTGGGGTGTCACTGGTTATTGGGTCCGACAACGGCCCCGCATTTGTTGCCCAGATTAGTCAGGGACTGGCCAGGGTCCTGGGGTCTGACTGGAAATTGCATTGTGCTTATAGGCCCCAAAGCTCAGGACAGGTTGAGAAAATAAATAGAACCCTAAAAGAGGCCATGACAAAATTGACTTTAGAGACTGGCATAAAAGATTGGACAGTCCTCCTTCCCTTTGCCCTGTTCCACGCGCGAAATACACCCAGCCCCTTCGCCTTAACCCCTTTCGAGATTCTATATGGGACACCGCTGCCTTTGACTAACGTATGCTTCTCTTGCTCCCACTCTCAAGCTTCTCAATCTCTTTATGATAGACTAAAAGCCCTTGAATTTGTCCAAAAAGAAACTTGGGCCCAACTTTCAGAGTCCTACAAGCCAGGAGACTCCCAGGTGCCTCACCAGTTCCAGGTTGGAGATTCAGTGTTCATCCGACCACATAGAGCGGCCACCCTCGAATCTCAGTGGAAGGGATCGTACCTGGTGCTGCTGACCACTCCAATGGCAATAAAGGTTGATGGCATTGCTTCTTGGATCCACACCTCCCATGCTAAACCAGCGCCTCCACCAGACCCCACTTGGAAGGTGGAAAAACTGGATCACCCACTCAAGCTCCGCATTCACCGTGGCAGTCTTGCTCCTCCTGATGCCTCTACCTGCAGTAAGTAGTGCCAACCCCCATAAGCCCCTGTCCCTTTCTTGGGTAATCTCCCGTGTGGGCAATAACCATGTTGT